GTCAGGGCACATGCCTTCTTTATGGGCCAGCTCACCTGTTGTGGGCATATAAGAGGCAACCAATCAATGTTTCTCTTGTACATAATGTTTCTCTCCCTCTCTTTCTCCATCCCTTCTCCTCTCTCTAATAATAATTAAATAAAATATTTTTTAAATAAAAAATAAATAATCTAACTTTTAAAGAAACTTGGAAAAGAACAAGAAACAAACCTCAAAGTGAGTAGAAGGAAATAATAAAAATCAGAACAGAAATAAACAAAATAGCATCTAATAAAACAATGCAAAAGATAAACAAATACAACAACTGATTCTTTGAAAAGATAAACAAGATTGACAAAACTTTACACTGACTCACAAAGATAAAAGGAAAGAGAATCTAAACAAGTAAAATTAGAAATGAAAGTGGAGAAATAACAATTAATACCAAAGAAACAGAGGATTGAAAGAAAATATTATAAACAACTATATGCAAACAAGTTGGACAATCTAGACGAAATGGATAAATTCCTAGAAATATACAATCTTCCAAAACTAAATCAAGAAGAATCAGAGAATGTGAATAGACAGATTATACCTATGAAATTGAAGTAGTAATAAGAATAATAAACTCCCAACAAACAATAGCCCTGGACCAGATAGGTTCACAGGTGAAGTTTACAAAATATTACAAGAAGAACTAACCTATCCTTTTCAAACTATTCCCAAAAATTCAAGAGAAGACTCCTAAGCTCATTTTATGAGAACAGCATTATCCTAATTCCAAAACCAAGTAAAGAAACTACAATGAAAGAAAATTATAGGTCACTATCTCTGATGAATATAGATGCTGAAATCCTCAACAAAATACTAGCAAACAATCCAGCAATACATTAAAAAGATTATACACCAAGATTAAGTGGGATTTACTCCAAGGATGCAAGGTTGATACAATATCTGCAAATCAGTAAACATAGTACACCACATAAACAAAATGAAAGATAAAAACCACACAATCATATAAATAGAAGCATTTGATAAAATCCAATACCCACTTATGATAAAAATTCTCAGCAAAATGGGATTACAGGGAACAATCTTTAATGTAATAAAGGCCATATATGACAAACCTATAGCCAACATCATAATCAAGGGGCAAAAACCATGAGTTTTCCCCTTCAGATTGGGAACAATGCAGGGGCATCTACTTTCACTAATATTACTCAACATAGTACCAGAAGTCATAGCCCAACGATAAGACAAGAAGAAATAAAAGGTACCCAAACTGAATAGGAAGAAGTAAAACTGTCATTATTTGCAGACGACATGATACAGTATGTAGAGAGCCCTAAATATTCCACTAAAAAACTACTAGTACCGATAAATGAATTCAGTAAAGTAACCAGCTACTAAATACATATCCAGAATTCAGCTGCACTTTTATATGCCAATAATAAACTATCAGAAAGGGAATCTGAGGAAACAATCTCATTCACAATTACTTCAAAATAACAAAATACCCAGGAATAAATTTAACCAAGGATGTAAAAGACTTGTACTTAGAAAATTGTAAGAGACTAAAGAGAAACTGAAGAAAATACAAATAGAAGTACACACATTATTCATGGTTAGGAAGAATTAACATCATTGAAATGTCCCTGCCACCCCAAGCAATGTACAGATTTAATGTAATTCCTATCAAGATACCAATGACATATTTCACTGAACTAAAACAAATATTCCAAAAATTTATATGTAATCACAAAAAACTCTGCATACTAACTGCAATTTTGAAAAAGATGAACAGAATTAGAGGATACATGCTACCTAATATCAAACTATACTAAGGTCATAGTAATTAAAACAGCATGGTACTGGCATACAAACAGACATATAGATCAATGGAACACAATAGAGAGACCAGATATAAACCTATTCCTTAATAGCACATATCTGTCCAATTTTCTAAACACTATTTATTGGACAGATATGTGCAAAAAGTGATACTAAACCACCTTCTTTCACCACACACAATAATGAACTCAAAATGGATTAAAGACTTTAATGTTATGTTGGAAACCATGAAAATCCTAGAAGAAAACAGGTGGTAAGATCTCAGACATTTCCTGTAATGGTATGTTTTCTGCCGTATCTCCTCAGGTGAGGGAAACAAACAAAAAATAAAAGCAAATGGGACTACATCAAACTAAAAAGTTTTTGCACAGCAAAGTAAACCATCAAAACGAAATGACAATCCACTGAATGGAAGAACATATTCTTCAATACATCTGAAAAGGGTATATATCAAAACTGTATAAAAAAACTTACAGAACCCAACACAAAAATACACAATCGAATTTAAAAATGGGCAAAGGAACTGTATAGACACTTCTCCAAAGAGGACACACAAATGGCCAATAGACATGAAAAGATGAGCAATGTCACTAATCATCAAAGAAATGCAAATTAAAACCACAATGAGAAATCACCTCATACCTGTCAGAATGGCTATCATAATAAAATTAACAAACAACAAGCACTGGTGAGGACATGGAAAAAAGGGAACCTTTGTGCACTATTGGTGGGAATGCAGATTGGTGCTGCCACTGTGGAAGCCTGTATGGAGTTACCTTAAAAATTTAAAAATGGAACTGAGACAGCATAGGGATTGGGCCAGGAATGGAGAATATCCAGTGGCCAGTGAAGCCAAGTTAAAATGAGGTAGTCAGAAAAAACTTGGGATGAACTCCACTCCTCCACTCCCTCCTCAAAATGCAGTAGTAGTTGATTTTTATCTCCCTCTAAATGCCTTCTTAAACTACTGACCTGCAAGCACAGCTGATCAAGGTTTGACCAATGTACAACTTTCCTAGGGTGGTGGTAATGAGCAGTACACCATCTTGTCCTCAAATGGGCAGGCATGGACATAATTACCAGGAACTCAGTTGAAAAAGGAAGTCACCCAACCCTTGGTGACAAGCCTGCTTTGTCCCCAGCTTATAAAAGCAGCCAAGCAAAGCCCGCACCCTCCACCTTCAGTCAATTTGGAGGACCCTACTTTCCTCTGTGCTGCTTCAAACATAAGCTTAATAAAATGTCTGGAAATTTCTCCATAGTTTCCTTTAATTTCTAGTTTGTGAAACCCAAGTACCCCAATGCTGGTAACACCTCCATCCAACTTGACTTTCTGACTTTTGAACCACAAATTCTCACTCCTCCAAGATTTTCCATATGGAGTCCCTTGGCTTCACAAATGTAGAGGAAAGACTATTCCATGACATCACCGCATGTCCTACAACCAGGACCTGGATCAGATGGATGTTATTTTCTGAAACCCCCCCTTACAGGCTGCCTGATGATCACTCATTTTATTCTGACATAAATAAGCAATCCCTCCCCTAACTCTTGCTATGTGCTGGTTCTTGTTGTCTTCACCTGGTCGAACATGTAAAGGAATTCCTGTACCTGGTATCATTCATGTGCTTATACCTATGACTATCCACTCCTTTACCTTATATAATTCTCTGTCACCTGCCAAGTAGCAAGGGGCCATTTGTACTGTAGTCATCTAAGACACACCCTGTATATAAGCTTCCTTTAATAAACTCTATTAATTACCATACTAAAGTGGCCAGCCTCTTTCTACACTCTTTCCCCGGCTCTCCACTTCCAGAGGTAGATTTTCAGTCTCAGGGTTTTTCATTGAGTCTGTGTGTACAAACAGTAAATACAAACTCATTCTTCATGTGTCAGTGAAAATGCAACCTACCCTTTGAATCCTTCCCTCATTTCCACATTTAGAAACTACCCCTCAGTCTTCGATCTTGGTAGCATCTCTGCTTGTATTTTGTAATTGACTCCACCATCTAATTGTATCTTATTTGTTTAAATGCTTTGTTTTTGTCCCTATTAGAAAATAAAGACTATATCTTTTCTTTTTGTATATACAGTGCCAAGCATACAAATTCATCCACAGTAAAAAATGAAAAATGAAAAAGAAAAGAAGATGGTTACTAATGGCCTCACAATGTGAGAATTTAAAGATTTACAAAGTTTTTCTGTGAAAAATCTGAAGAAAAACCTCACCATAGACTTTTTGGCAAGTTGAAAACTTCAATAAGCATATGCAAAATACAAGTACAATTTTATAAAAGGAAAAAAACCCTTATGCTTAAAAAAGATTGAAGGGAAACACCAAAATGTTAAAAGTGATGTTGTTAGAGTGGTGAGAAGCCACAGGTAACTCTTCCCCCTTTTCCTCTGTTTTCAAAAATGTCTTAAATGCTTAATCTAATCTATACTATTTTCCATAATGACTTTGGCCCCCTAAAAATTAATGACAATTCTAAACTTCCAAATCTATCAAACCAAAATGGTGAGAACCATGATATTCCATACATGGAAAAAAATGATGAGAACATAGCACCCTGCCATACTAAGGGCAGGAGAAAGAAAAGATATAGACTGACTATACTTCTAATACATTGGCTTTTATTATTATTCTTCCAGTATATTCCTAACCTGTTTTGATCACTTCTTTTGAGATCCAAAAAAAAAAGAAGAAAAGAAAAGAGACTATTTACATGAAATGATTGCATTCTTAGATTACCTATTACAACAGTATATGCTAAGGGTTATACCAGGTAAAATAAGTCATGGTCTCTATTTTCAAGCAATTTACAGTTTGGTGAGAAAAGGGAAAAACCACCCAGATGAAATGTAAACAGTATACAACTGAGTGATAAATTATGTGGTACAGGTAATAATCTAATTGGCCTAATGAACATATAAATACCATTAATATTTGATAAACATAGCACAGTCAGAGATGGTAACTGTTCTATTTTTAGATTGAAAAAATGAGCTATTTCAGCCACAAGTTACAAATATCACACTCAACTATAAAGATATTTTGCAAATCGTAAGGTTTTTTAGTTCATTTTTGACATAAACTGGAGCAATAAAATAAAAATTTAGACCATAGCTTTTCTAAATAGTTAGAATTATCTAAGAAAAATATATACCTGAGATTTTTGTCTTTGGGCTTCTACTGCTGGGAAGAGCTCCATCCAGAGACTGAGCAGAGTGAAAAGGTTAACTTTAGAAAGCCTTGGTATTTGACCTACAAAAGAGAAGGCAGACACTTTAAAATGTTGCTAATGACTTAAATAGGAACTAAGCTCAATACCACTTGGGTGCTGCAGCTTTTAGTTCAGCTGCTTTAGCAGGAAGAAGAGAAGAAGGATAAAAGAACAAGAGAATCAAAATGCTTTTTTATTAGGAAACTGGCCACCACCTCACTTGTAGTGACCTCCTCTGGCACTTTCCAAAGTTAAGACCTCTTTCTCCAGCCCTCACACAGCTGGGGGAACAAAAAGATACCAGCTATGGGAACAATCCAAGAAAGTTATGAAAGGTCTTTGCATCTTGTCATTATTGAGCAAGTTTTTCTTTCTTTTTTAAAAATTGTTGACACTATTACAGATGTACTCCATCTCCCCTCCTCTTTTTCCCTTTCCACCCAACCCCCCTCCACCTCACCCCAACCTTCACCACATTGTTGTCTGTGACAGTGGGCTATGCATATATGTTCTTTGGCTGGCTTTTCTGTGGACTGTGGTGTTGCAGCAATGACAGTGGTTACAGTATGGTAACAGTATGCTTTACCCTTTACAGAGAATAAAGCATGTGAGATATAGGAAAGCGTGATGTATGGTTGTGGACAGCAGGACCAATAAAATGGGGTTGGTTGGGTCAAAATAGGATAAAGTATATAAAATAAGATGGCATCACTCATGTCAACCAAGATGGCTGCCAACCAACCATAACATTTAACTCAGGAAGGAAACTATCTAAGTCAGCCAGGCACACTGCCAAATGCCTGTCAGGGCAGCACATCCAAGACATGGACACACCTATTCATAGAGCGCTGGGAGCTACTTGCCGGGAGCCATGGAATCTCCCAGTTTAAGTGCCATGTTTTCAGGTATAATTGGGGTGGGCTTCAGACGACCACGGAGACAGCTGAGCTCTACACACCAAGGTGCTGTCCCACACCGTGCTGATCTCCTGACTGCTGTGCCGCCCACTTGGTTCCAGAAATTCTGCCTTGTAAGTCACAGATGGCTCCCCAGCCTATTATGGTGTCTCCCCTGTGCCCTTCAGTTTCCTTAACCCCCAATTCTCTTGTGTGATGTTATTATTGTCACTAGGTTAGTACAGGTTTGGACTGAATATACATTAATAAAAGCTGAGTGAATAGCATAGACACCTGTGTTGGTTCCCTGTTATTTCTCTATAACAGGGACTGTTATAGAGAAATATAACAGCCAGGGTCACCTGTGGGACTAGTGCTCCTACAGGCGGCTGGGCGCTTTCGGTTCTTAAGGCCTGGATCAGACCACAGGAGCGGGAATCAAAGCCTGGCTTATAGGAAAGACTATGTGGCGAAACACTTGCTCGCCACAATTATTTGTAAATCAAGTCAAAAGCACGGCTTGGGGAATTTTCAGGCTCGGGGAATTTCCAGGCTCATCACTCTCCGAGATGCCAGCTATAGGTCCAGGGAGGAAAAGTAAATTGGGGAGGGGCGGGGGGCGTTGAGCACGCTATTTCAAAAGCTGGTGCACCCAGACCAGCGAATCCCGCTGAATGAAGCACGGAGGTGCCCAGGAGGGAATGAGACATCCAGGGGTAGAACTACTAGCGAAGGGGAAGGCAGGGAACCTGGATTTGAACGGGCCGCAGAAAAACAGGATACAGCAAAACGCTGTGGTGGTGGGAGCAGTCTGAAGCACTCACCGATCATGCTGTCAGTCTGGGTGCTGACTGACCGCCCGGCCCCCGCGCTCTCCAGATCTTGCATCTGCCCTGCTTCTTTCATCCCAAACCTAGCGGTCCCTGCAGCCCAGAAAATCTCTCGCTATTAGGCATGATCTTGGTCCCACACGCTCCACCTCCCCGCTCTGCCCAGATGCTATATACAAAAGCCAACTGGTCTCAGCCAGATGACATAAGCAGCCCGACTGCCACTTCCGGGCGCTTCGTGTGACGTCATAGCAAGGCGGAACACAGGGGTGAGGGCTCCCCGTCCCGAGGGCAAGTGGTTGGGTAGGATACTCTATACGGTAAATCATCTGGGGTCGGTTTTTGGCTGTCTTGGTATTTGGCTATCTTCCTTGGTTTTGCCGAAGTAAGGTTGGGGGAAGATGTCAACTTGAAGTCCCAGGTTTCCCTAGGTTTGATGAGGCCTGCTCAGACTTGAGTTTGGGTCAGAGAAGGAATAGGAATGGAAACCTACCCTACCTGTCATGGTCAAGGCCATAGAAAATCTCTGAAGGAAAAGGGATAGGAACTGGGAGATCCAGGTAGCTGTTAACATCCTGAAAAAGAATATACCTACCAAGAAGGACTCCTGGTGGCCAACTGGGCACAAATTTAGTAGCAGTGCCCAGCAGCCATTTCTAAACGGGCCTCTCTTGCAATGGCAATGGCACTTCAAGGAGATGACTACCCTAACTAACTTCCTGCCTGCACTGTGTTCCTACCATCTGAGCCAGCCCTTATAAAGGAGTTTCTGGAATCGTATTTCATCCAATAAGACTGAGACTTTCCCCTAAAGAATAGGAGCTGGACAGCTATATCCTTATTAGTATTTGCACTGACCAATCAGGACAGTGCTTTTTTGGGACACTAAAATTTCAGGGGTTTGAAGTCCTCATTTGCAATCAAGGACACAGGCAGCTCCCCTCTGACTCAGAGTATACTTTCCTTTTCCACCAAAGATGGAAGACTGGATTTCCCCAGCTGAGTGAAACACCTAGTGGCCTTACTGCTTTATAATTGAGCTGTAACAATGTTGAGCTGTGCTGTTCCACAGCAGTGCTGTATTGCATTTGGGCTGTTTGCACCGAATAAAGTTTCCTTCTTCATCACACCTCAAAAATGGGGATTTCTGCTGACATTGAATTGGCACCAACAAACATTGGTTGACAGCTTCTTACCAAACACATAAAGACATTAAGAGGTGGAACTGTGATTATGAGAGGTGAGGGTAGGAGGAGACAGCAAGCAGCCCCTAGAATATCTGAGAAGTACCTGACATTGTAGATTTATAAGTATTGAAGTCGTGACTCAAAATGAAGATCCTGCCTCACTGTGACTCAGCCCAGTTTCTATCACCAACTCATTCTGTTATCACAATTTGAAATATTGACAAATAAGACATAAAAACTGCTTTTGGAAAGCAAAAGCTGAATGTTATTAAAGTACATTATTTTGTAAAGAAATGATGTGAAGAATCCAATGTTGAAGGGTATGGGTCTGGTTCATTAATTTTCACTACTGTGTAGTATTTCATTGTAGCTATATACCACAATTTATCCATATTTGAGCTTAAAGACTTTTTCACCATCTCCAACTTTATGTTATTGAAAACAGTGCTGCTGCCATAAAGACTTTGCTATTTCCTTATGTTCTCATAAAAGCATTTCTTTAAAGACTGTACTTAAGAGTAGAATTTTTGTGTTGTTACTATCAATTTACCAGATAATGCTGAAAAGTTATACAAAAAATTATACCAATTTATTACACAACTCTATATCCCCACTAATTCTTGTTATTGTCAAGCTTTTAATGTTTGCCAATTTGATTTGCATAAAAGGGTATCATGATTTTGATTTTCCAATTTTTTAAATTAAATTTATTGGGGTGACATTGGTTAACAAAATTATATGGGCCTCAAATATACAATTCTATAATATATCATCTGTATATTGCATTGTGTGTTTACCACCCACCTCATTTTTACTTTTGTTGAACATCTTGTCATATATTGGTTGGTCATACATGTGTCCTCTCTATGAAATACCCATTAACCACTTTTCTACATCGTTTTTTTTATTTCTTTATTCATTTTTAAGAATTCTTTATATATTATGGATATTAATTCTCAGTTGGGTGTACATATGATAAATGTCCTCTCCCTATTTGCCACTTGTTTTTTTACTTTATGTCTTTCGGTATACATTTTTTATTTTAATATGTCAAACAGCAATCATTTTCATTACCGGGTTTTATAACTCAGTATCTTTTAAAAAATGTTTCCTACCCAAAGTTACAAAGATATCCTTTCACATTTTCTCTGATAGTCATTAGGTTGTCCTTTCACATTTGCATCCTTCATGTAGAATTTATTTTTGTGTATGATGTGAAGTAGTGGTCTGATTTTTTTTTCGTTTGGATAATCAATTATCCTAGAACTATTTTGCCACTGATCTTCAATGTCACCTTTCTCATAAATCAAATTTCCATATATACATGAGTCTGTTTCTGGCTTTAAAATGTATATTACTGATTTATTACAATACTCCCTCAGAAAACACCTTTTATTTTCTTCAGAGAAATATTGGATATTTTTGGCCCTTTAATCTTCCATGTAAGTTTAAAAATCATATTGTCAAGACTTTCCGCCAAGATGGAGGCATAGGTGGAAACTCTGTACCTCCACACAGAACCAAATTTAAGGACAACAAAGATTTAGAAACAAAAATATAATCAGAACAGACAGAAAATTGAACTGTACCAAAGTCTGACAATAATGAACCATTCATCCCCACCGGCAAGAGGGGCAGAGTCAGCAGCCAGCAGTGAGGGGTCCTGGCAGGAAAAGACGGTGGTTGGCAGACCCAGGTGCGGGGAGGAAACAAGCAAACCCAATGAGGTGTGCAAGGCGGTTGGCTGACTGTGGACACACATTTGAGCACAGATGAAACAGGCAAAAAATGGACAGTGAGACAGACCATGCAACGTAGGGCCCCAGTGATGGGAAATAAAGCCTTACAGCATTGATTGAAAAAAGCTTGCCATGATTGAAGTGCCAGGAGAGGATCCTAGCCTCACAGGACAGTTTGTTGGAGAGACCCACTGGGTCCTAGAATGTACACAAGCCCACCCACCTGGGAACCAGTACCAGAAGGGCCCAATTTGCTTGTGGGGAGCAGCAAAGGGGACCAAAATCTGAGAGAGAGTGGAGCAAGCACCATTATTCCCTCTCTGACCCTGCCCCCACATACAGCATCACAGCCCAGTGACGTGATTGCCCCACCCTGGTGAACACCTAAGGCTCTGCCCCTCAATGTAACAGGTACGACCAGACCAAAAACTGCTTTGCCAGATTCATTTATTAAGTTGAGTAGTTTTTGGGTGGAGTCTATAGTATTTTCTTTGTACACTATCATATCATCTGCAAAGAATGGTAGTTATACTTTCTCCTTTCCAATTTGGATGCCTTTTATTTTTTCTTCATGTGTGATTGCTGTGGCTAGGACTTCTGGTACTATGTTGAAGAGAAGTGGTGAAGTGGACATTGTTGTCTTGTTCCTGATCTTAGTGGGAAAGTCTGTAGTTTTTGCCCAATGAGTATGATGTCGCCTGTAGGTTTTTCATATATGGCCTTTATTATGTTGAGGTGTGCTTCACCCTACTCCTACTTTGCTGAGTATTTTATCATAAATGGGTGCTATACCTTATCAAATGCCTTTTTGTATCTAATGATATGATCGTGTGATTTTTGTCTTTCATTTTATTTATGTGATGTATTATGTTTATTGATTTGTGCATATTGTCACATCCTTGCATCCCTTGGATGAATCCCACTTGATTATGGGGTATGATCTTTTTGGTGTATTGCTGGATGCCATTTGCCAATGTTTTGAGAAGCATTTTAGCATCTTTTTTTATTAGCCATATTAGCCTGTAGGTTTCTTGTTTGTTGTGTCTTTGTCTGGTTTTGAGATTAGGGTGATGCTGGCCTCATAAAAGGCATTTGGGAGTCTTTCCTCTTTTTTGGTATTTTTGTAGTAGTCTGAAAATGATGGGTGTTGATTCTTCCTTAAATGTTTTGTAAAATTCTTCTGTGAAATCATCTGGGCAAAAGGGCTTTTGTGTGATGGGAGTTTTTAATTACTGCTTCAATTTTACTAGGTGTTATTGGTCTGTTTAGGGTGTCTGATTCTCCTTCATTCGGTTTTGGAAGATTATAATTTTCTAGAAATGTGTGCATTTCACCCAGGTTTTCAAATAGCTTGGCATATAGTTGTTTGTAGTGATTTCTTACAGTCCTTTGTATTTTTGTGGTATCAGTTGTAATTTCTCCTCTTTCATTTCTGATTTTATTTATTTGGATTGTATCTCTTTTTTTCTTGATAAATCTGCTTAAAGGCTTGTCAATTTTGCTTATCTTTTCAAAGAACCAGTTCCTGGATTTATTGATCCCTTGAATTATTCTTTTAGTCTCTATCATTTAAGTCTGCTCTGATCTTGGTTATTTCCTCTCTTCTATTCACTCTGAGCTTTGTTTGTTGTTGTTTCTCCAGTTCTTGAAGATGTAGGGTTAGGTTGTTTTGATGCAGACTCTGGCCCTCCGGAGTCTATGTGTTGTGGATGCGGTACACAAATTCACATGTACTACTGAGTCCTGTGGAGAAAAAGGGATGACACAGTCACTCTCTCAAGGGGAGAGCACCTCTGAGTACTTAGTCCACTCTCTCAAGAGGAGAGTGCCCCAACCCTTGCCTGGACAGGCTTTTATTGGTTTCCTTTCACATTACATCAAAGAAGGTTCTCATTATATCTAGATTTAGTTAAGTGATTTCTTCTTACAGATAACAAAAAAAAGAGAAAAACTTACAAATGCAAGGGAATGATAAAAATGATTAATTTGGTTGCATTTCATCCTTGGAACATCTTAGCACAGACTTTAGGGAGTCGCTTCAGAGATATACATTAAACATCTGCAGTCTTAACTCAGGGTGAGGGAGTTTTAGCAAAAGCAAGTCTCATAGCAGCCTAGGTACAATGCAGGCCTGATTCCCCATGGGAAAGCTGGTCTGCACACCTGGCTCCTGTGTGCCACCTCACACTGATTGGTTTTCCAGATCAGTACTGGTCTACATTCACCATTGCCATGCTAATCGGTTCCCTATAA